CAGATTTGGAACCCCCAGACAGGGAACCTCGCTCACTCCCCACATGTCTCCCCACTTCACTTTCCACCTTCGTGGGCAGCAGGAGAATCAACGTTTTCTCTCATTAATTCGGAAAAGCACATCCTAAACCCACTGCCCGGCAGGAGTGAGCTAGGCCCCAAGCAAGCGAGGCTCAGTCAGGGCAGCCTTCGCTCATGGGTGCTGGCACCCAAAGTGCACATTTCTCCTCTATAGTCGCCCCGACTATCCCACTGTTTCACTGAGAGGACGGAATTCCTCTCCGCCTCTGGGTTCTTGATCTTGAACGCTGACCGAAGGCACCTCAGAGAGGGCCGCCTGCGCCCACCAGGTGTGTCTATCTGCATCTGCTCCTGCCTCAGCAACTGCATTAACCCCCCAGAGGTGATCTCATAGCTGCACTGGCCTCCGTGGGAACAGGGCATCACCACTCCGCCCTCTCACTGTCATCTCACAGGCGCCCACCCTCAGCACCCAGAACACCCAGACACTCTCCAAAGGACGTGAGCGCATCAGAGGAGATGTGTGCATATCCTGTGGGGGTGTTAGGCATGCTGGGTTGATGGAAGTGCGGTGTGAACTTGTGCACGCCTTGGTTTGCAACTGTTGCAGGCGTGGGAGGGTGACAGTGTGCTGGGGGATGTTCACACGCCAGGGGGGGATGTGCACACCGGAGGCCTCTGGCTTTGCAGATCCACAAACCCCCGTGGTGCAGCCAGGAGGACGTCAGTCTGGCCCGCCACAGTGGCTGTCCCTGCGATCCTGCACCTTCTGGGCCAGGAGGCGGATCTTGAGCAGCCACTCCTGGGCACTGATTGGCCTGCAGGCGCTACTTCAGCTCAGCCTGCAGGCTCCGCTTGGCGCACTCACAGCTGTCACCACCGCCATGTGGGGAGTACAGGCCGCCCTCCGCCAGCCTGCCTCCCCTGTCCAGAGGCTCTCTGCACTGCTCACCTGCCCAGAGTGACTGGGGTTGGGCGGAAGCCAGGCGTCCTGCCCTGCCCAACCCCGGCCAATCCGCTCCTGTTCGAGCTGCTGCCCCGCCGGGAAGGGTCACGGATCCGGGTCCTGGGACCGCAGACAGCCTCAAGCACTGCCCCCCACCCGGCAGGGTCACAGATCCGGGTCTTGGACCGAGGACAGCCTTTCCCGCTGCCACCTGCCTTCAATATGCAAATTAGCCGCCATCTTGTTGCTTCAGGGTGGGGGTCCCGCTTGGGTGCCTGGCCAGTCTGGGTGAGGAGCTGAGGGCCGTTTTCAGGCTGGCGGGCGACTGAAGCTCCCAACCTCTCCTTTTTTCTTTTTTTTTTTTTATTCTGGGGTTTATTTACCTTCTATGGCTGTCACTGGAGCTGAGAGCCGGCTTTAATTCTGAGGCCCGGCTGCAGCTCTGAGACCTCGGCTGCTGAAAGCAAGGATCTAGGTCTGTTCTATAATTGAAACAATGTTGCGGTCCTGCTGGCTGAAGCCCAGCTGACTGAAAGCAGGTTTCTGGGTTTTGTTTAGCTTCTATATTTGTAACAATGTTTCTTAAACTGCAAGCTCAGAGGCTGGCAGCAGCAGGTGGGGAACGTTAGCTTCCTCCATCACTGAAGCAAGCAAGCCTCCTGTTCGCATCAGTGCCTGGCTGCCGGCCGCCATCTTGGTTGACAGTTAATTTGCATATGACCCTGATTAGCCAATGGGAAGGGTAGCGGAGGTACGGCTAATTACCATGCTTGTCTATTATTAGATAGGATGTTCACTGCAAAAATAAGTTTTCTATCTAGAATATAGCTAAATATATTTTTAAGTTTAAATAGACATTACATTATAGCAAAAATAGATTGTAACTACTAAATCCTATTTATGTATAATATCATCAGCTTACTTTTCTATAATGTGTTACTAAAATAATAGATGAAATACACCAACAAATGTGTTCCCAATTTGACTTAAGTAAGAATTTGAGGGAAAATTTTAATGAAGCTATTAAGACAAATAATCCATTTACCTATAATCTGAAATCTATAGTTCTCCACTAACCCAAGCCCTAGTGGAAGTAGCTTTGAACTAAGAACAAGGAAACCAGGCCCAGATTTGTCACTGTTTTAACCACAACCTTGCATAAGGGTTTACTTGTCTGCACTTCAGTGTCTTCATATTTAAAATAAGGAAATCCTAATCTTAGCTCTAACCTTTTTCCTATTTCATGAAGCCCTGGGGAAACTAGTGTTGAGTAAAATGTAAAGTAGCTGGAGCCTCTTTTAGTAACCGACATAATTTTTTAAAAGATATTATTGATTTGGACAGTGAAGAATAGCCCGCAGGCAGATCCTGCAAGGCGCGTCAACAGACATGCACACCTACCTTCCTGTTGGCACCGTCCACGCTTGGCAGGTCTATCTCATTCCTTACAGGAAGGAATAGGTTCTTCATTGTGTTTCAGAAGTCAGTAAGCTTTTACAAAACTAAGTAATTGACATTTTTCTCATTTCTGAGATCAAATTTTCATAAATCATTCAACCTGGATAAACTGAGAATGTGGTCGATCTAGCAATTGTTGAAATATAGTAAAGACATTGCAAAACATGATATTTAAGTATTTCCTCCTAACCTCTTCCCTTAGCAATTTGTACTAGTTTGAAATGGGAAAAAGTCCTAATGTATAAAAAGGAAACAAAAGTAAGAGGAGCCTATCTGTAAAGGAGAAGCCAAAAGAACCACACACAGATTCATCTCAGTAATTTGTGATTCCGCCAATTCAGAATTTGTAGTGATAATAGCTATGCCGAATAGAGCTTACTTTTATATTACAAGGAAGTTTTTTAATATTGCAGATGATTTTGTGGAGGAGGTATATATTTAACCAACTTGGAAGTAATGATTTCCTGACTTTTTACAATATATGTGGAGATATGCTCTTAATGTCTTCTCAAGATTCCTGCTGGCAGCTATTTGTCAATAGTTAATTCAAGCTCTATCATCTCTTAACAATGCACTTTAAATTCCATACTGACATTTCCCCCCTCCTCTGCAAATCAAGTTAGTGAAACATTGTCTGAATTAAAGGATTTATGTAATTCTATGAACCATAATATTCAGAGTATATTAGCTCTAGTTTTGGTCAGTAGTCCAACTTATACAAACTGGTCTGTGAATAAAGTGAATTGTCCAGTGAATCTTCTAGTTCAAGTAGTTGCACCAATAGGCTGAAGTTGTGAATGTATAAAACTTATGTATAGCTTGTATTTGAGAAATTTGTAGTAACAAATGTAGGACAGATTTGCATTTTCACTCTAAGATCATTACTACATTTCTCAAAGCAAAGATTTTTTTTAAAATATATTTTATTGATTTCTTACAGAGAGGAAGGGAGAGGGATAGAGAGTTAGAAACATCGATGAGAGAAACATCGACCAGCTGCCTCCTGCACACTCCCCACCGGGGATGTGCCCACAACCAAGGTACATGCCCTTGACTGGAATCGAACCTGGGACCCTTGAGTCCACAGGCTGACGCTCTATCCACTGAGCCAAACCAGTTAGGGCAAAGCAAAGATTTTTGACTCATCAGATTCTTTCATTTCATATTTGTGTTTTCTAACAGGACTCGATATATGCAGAATCATCCAATAGCCTGGAGCTAGTTTTCAGTGTTGGATGCAGCTGACCAGTGTGTACGACACTAAGAATGCCCTCATTCCTTTAGTGTCTAGCTCTGTACTAGGTTTATTTGCAAAGAACCCTCATGCATGGGTCCCTATAAATGAGGCACGCTGCTCCCATATAAATGAGGCGAGCTGGAGCAGATTAGACTAAGTTGCTCAGCTGTCTCTGAGAAAGGAAGGTAGTGTATATATGTATGGGCATGATTTTTGCGTTTAATGAAGACTTCTCTGTATATAACAAGCAAGTTTTTAGTTAATGTTTTATACTTTCAGTAAAGAAAATAAAAGAAAAACAATTAATGGTCTGATTCCATCATTTTTTGTCAAGCAAAACTCTCACTGACCCACAGGAATGTGGTCTCTCTCCCCTGGAGTCGCCTAAAAACACCACAGAATGGGCTTCTGAACTTTCACTCTATTTTCCGTATAATGGTTTTTAATCAACTGAAAATCACCTACCTTGGACTAAAAAGCATATTTAGTCATTTCTAGCCTATTTATACTTCTCAGGAATAGAAAGTTTTTTTGTTTTTGTTTTGTTTTGTTTTGTTGTTGTTTTTTTACTATTACCATTAGTTACTTTATTAAATGGGAAAGCATGGTGCATGGTTTTATCTTTCTCTTTCTTAATTTTGTTTTATTGCTTAAAATATTACAAAGAGTAGTATGCAGAAAGTTTTTAAATGTATTATGTAATACCCTTTGTAATACTTATAGCGAAAAATAAAAAAAAAATGTAGTACAGAAAGTCTGTTTTTATCACCATCAAATCATTTGTTTATATTTAAATTATTTTCATGCCACTGAGACAAGAAGTTTTTCCTGCTAGTCCCCTAATTCCTGGCTGTATTAGCTAACTCTATGAAAAAGAAATTTAATGCATAAGAATTGTACAATATGCCCATGTTACTTATTTAGCTAAGTAGCAGGTGTAAGATTGCTAACATTTCTATATTGAAATAAGGTAAATCAGTTTCAAACTGCTCTCCATTTAATGTGTCATCCTGTCATTACATGGACGTCATTGATTCACAACCTTAACACAAATAGGTAAATGTATTGAAATGCGTACCTTCTGTTTTTCATGTAGCATCAAATGCTCACATAAGCTGAAGATCTGGGTTAAAGTTTGTGTTGTTGCTGTTTTTTTTAACCTCAGATACTTGGCACTCGGCACCAGTGTCTCTTGCTTACAGTAATGCTTTATTTTTTAACATGACTACCAGGATTGCTTGGTCACAGGCAACCACTGTCCTTTTTCTGCCAAAACATTCCTGACAGTAACTGCACTTTCTGTATTCATTTTTCCCTTTCCACCTCTTGCTCCTAACAGGTTGGAGAGGCTGGTGGACGTCCTGCGGAAGAAGGTTGGAGCAGGGCCCGTGAGGACAGTGATCTGACTGAAAGCGGCAGTCTGGGAAGCAGTCACATCTGGTGACCAGGCTGATTCATTCAACGCTGTGTAAACACTAAAGCCTTAACTTAGCAAACAGTTGTTAGAAGTGGGACACTCCAACCACATTCCAAGCTGAGATAAAATCAAATCACAAATGTTTAACCACTTTGTTGCTGACTTGGGTTATTTATCCAAATGTATTAACTGCGGACTTTTACCAATGGATAGCTATAAAGTTGTAGTTTATTTGTAACTATTTTCTGCCTCACTATATTTAACATAACGCTTTTTACTGAGAGACTATTATAGAAACATTGTGAAGTTGGTCAGGATTATGTCTTCACATATGGCCCTTTCTAAATCAAAATGCAGCAAAGTAAATATTGTCTAAACCTTAATCCACTGTGTTAGGTCAAAACTTCAAATACACGCATTTTTCAATATAGAGTTTATTTCTTACCTGATGAGAGTTTATAGTCTTCCTTCAATGCATGCATGTAATCTTTGTTAGTATTCAAGAATATTAAGTATGGATACTAAGAATTAAATGTATAATTTCTTTTAATAAGAGTTTGGTACATTAAAATTATCATGATTTTTGTTTCAATAAAAACAATACAGACTATCTTCAATGAAAAGAGGATATTGTTACTGTGTACTTGTAAATTCAATATTTTCAATGCTTTGATGAATAATTATCTAAACTTTATTTAAACTGTAGAAATTGCCAAGTTTATCTAATAGACTGGGACACTTTGGCTTGAAAATCTGTCTGTGCCGCATGCAGGGGCCATCCAACTTGTTGCACATGCTTTTGATGATCTTTACTTAGATTACCATTTGAATTTTTGTTGTGGAGGAAGAGAAATTGATATGTAACTTACAATAAAATGATAATGTAAAAACACATGGTCTTAGAAAAGAGAAAACCTACAATTTGGTTCAGGTTACATACTTTTTTCATTCATAACTTAAAATAGTTACAGCATAGTCACTTCTAACCATATGAAATTATTAATAAAACTAAGATTTGTAGATATGGCTGTAGGAAAAACATGTTCTTTTTTAGATTGAATAGATGAGAGGCCAATAGAAAATGACTATGTCTAGAATTGGGTGAAAAAGACAAGTAGAGAATAAATTCATGAAAAAATTTTAGGCAAGTGAAAATGTTTCTAAATTCATACACTTCTTTTATTCATCTTTAAGATTGAGGTAAATTATCTACCATTGCCTATTTTCAAGACAAGTACAGAGTAATTTATGCACCATTTCTTCATACACCATTGGAGATTATCTGTTTGAATTCTTTTTTTCACTCTGTGGGAAAATGTAAGGTACTTTATCACAGAGTGACGAAAGGACCATAATGCTAACATCAGTTTCTTCCTTATTTTATCCATTAAATTAACTGAGAGTTAGAATCATGCCATTGAATTTAAATTTAAAATTTACTCATATTGTCTGCTTTTAATTATTTTTATGCTATAAGAGTTAGAAAATAAAGAACAGCAGGGGCTAAAATTAAGCTACCTGGATCTACTCTATAGTTCTAAAGACCATTGTAGCCTCTCCTAGGCCAGAGACTATAGAAATAGAGAAATTTTCAATAATTGGGTCATGCATAGAGTCTTGTCCCAAGGCTCTAATAGAAACATACAGCTTAATGTGTGAAGGAACAAGTCACGGAGGTAAGTAAAGAGAAACAATTTTTGTCACAAAATTGTCCATTCCTGAATCCTCTTCAGATGAATCACATGGAAACTTGAGTTTTCAGTTTAGTCCTAAAGAATAGACAAGTCTTTCTTGAATTATTTTGCTTGGGGTTTTCTAATACACAAAGTGTAGCATAAAGACATTTTACAATTTTCAAACATTTCTTCCTATACCTAAATGATCATATTAGAACAAGCAATTCCTGTAATTAGTATTCAGAACATTTTTAGAATTTGATATTATAAACTTAAATTTACAAAACAATTCAAACATCTACTATTGTTCAATGTAGGTAATCACCCCAAAATATCACACGTCCCCATGAAAATGAGTTGTCTACAAAATTACACATGCTAAGTATTATAGCCAAATAGTATCATTAATTGATTTCTTGCACTTAAAAAATGTTCACCACCAATATTCCAAATTGTCTATTTTTTTATGAAGGAAAAACCTTGTTCACTGAAGATCAGTTCTCTACATATTCAATAGTAAAGCAACTTCAAAAGTATTTGAAGATACCCTGAGATGTTTCTTTGAGTTTGCTTTAAACATCAAGTCTAATCCCTACAGTAACATGATAAATCATTTCTTAGAAAAATAAGTAGTTCAGAAGAAAATCAGAAAAAATAACACAAACATGCATAGCACTTGATTTGTTTTTTTGCATTTATATTTGTATTCTTTCAACCAAATAATAACAATAATAATAAGAGATTATATGTATGAGCCACATAATCATGCTGCTGCTGATTTTAGTATTATTGTTATTATTACATACATTTTACAGATGATGAAACAGACCCAGAGAGGCTAGGAAATTGCCAAGGACTAGCTAGGATTTACAACTGAGGTCTTATAACTAAAACTCCATGCAAACCATAGGTCTCCAAACCCTTCAAAATAAAATAAAATAAAAAATTGTTAATAAAGATTTAAACTCTTACAATCTGTTATTGTACCATTTCTTTTATACACTTATGTATGAATGCTCTAAAAATCAAGATTGTATGTATTTTGTGTGTGTGTGTTAATCTACACCCGAGAATATTTTTCCACTGATATTTAGAATGGAATGGTGGGGGTAGGGAGGCGTGGAGACAGGAAGAGATAAACATCAACGTGAGAGAGACATATGGAATGGTTGCCTCTCAAACGCGCTGGGGATTGAGCCTGCAACCAAGGTACATGCCCTTGACCAGAATCAAACCCAAGATCCTTCAGTCCTTGGGCTGATAGCCTATCCACTGAGGCAAACTGGCTGGGGCTGTATGCATTTCTTTCAATGAAGAACAAAAATGTGAATTGAACTGCACATGTATATAGATAGCATCATATCATTGCTAACTCTCTGTAGGGTTATAGTAGCAGCATGCTTTGTCTTAGCCTTCACTAATTGGGAATATTGTGACAATTCATCATTAATAAAAAATAACCTTGAGTTGCTTTTTACTATTTTAATTTGGCCTATGCTAAAACCTGACAGTGTAGTTTTATCAAAAGGAAGCCTAAACTTCAAGGCTTACTCTACCTACCTGAGGAACTGGCAAAGATAAAACCAGTTATAGGCAAGTTGTTAGCAAGGTTATTGATTATAAGCAAAGTAAAAGCAGTTATAGTGAAGTCAATAATTAATTTTTATATAAATAAGCCATGTTAGAATTATTTAAAATATTTTACCTAATAAAATATTTTCTCCTTTTCAATAAGAAACTGGATCCCTTCTATAATTCCTTATTTAAATAAACTGAAGAATCTTCTTATTAGATCACTTACTGACAGGATTAAGTTGTTTTGAAGGGGTTTTCTTTCACACAAAAACAGGTTGGAATATTAAAAATTTGTTGTTTTTATATTGGAGATAGTTGCCTAGAAAAGCATTTTTATGTGTAGTGTTTTGAATTATTTTTAAAGTTTCTATTTTGTTAAAATGTTCATGATTAATGAGTCATATTATAATGATAAAATAGCCATGGCTTACACATTTTCTCTACTCACATATAGTTTGTATGGAACACAAATTTTTCACAAGACAATATTATATTGTTGATAACTATTATTGATAACTAGAGGCCCAATGCACAAAATTCATGCAAGAGTAGGCCTTCCTTCCCCTGGCTGCCAGCACTGGCTTCCCTCTGTCATCCAGGATTCGGGCTTCCCTCCAGCCCCAGCTTCGTCCAGAAGGACGTCCGGAATGCTGTCTGGTCTAATTAGCTTATTATGCTTTTATTATTATAGATTAAACTGTCTATTCATATCCATATACATATATAAGATGTATCTTTATACATAGACATATACTACATGTATACAACTATATACACAGGTATATACACACAGACACATACAGAAAAGTACATTTGCCTTTTATAAATATTGATTTGTAAGACAACTGTTAGGCTCCAGTGATTTCAGTATTTTGTCCATGTTTTATTAGAAATGCACATGGTTTCTGAGGTTTTTAAACAAATACATGGGCTGGTTGAAAGATTTATATTGCTTGAGCTTAGCTAAATATGTCATCTCTAGAGAAGATGTAGTTTATTTTGGCTCTGTTTTAAAAACTCAAATATTTTAAACATTTGTTAAGTTGGAGCTTGCACATTTGAACTAGTAGCATAGGTTCCAGAATAGCATCTCAAGTTACCAAACTTGTAATCCTTTTGCTAGAATAATCTTTATGAAAAACTATTTTTCTCTTTTATGTACTTTAAATTAAATTTATAAAGGTTGAAGTTATTATTTTTAATGTAAAATTTCATAAATAGAAGTTGACGATGATAAATGTACTTTTGAGAATGATTAAAATATTGTATATTATTGATATTTCTTTGCAGAAATCCAATATACATATTTATTTTTTTTTCTGTTTTCTAAATATAGTTTTGGAATATGCTAGTACTTTGGAAGACACCAGTTTCTCAACTATCTAATTATTATCACAGGTGCATTTTAATGCTCAAACTCAAATATCTGAAATATATATTTACTTTTTATTCACATAAAATCCTCTATTGTAAATTCTACATACTTCAGTGCAGTTCTTATATATTGATCTTAATCAAATTTATAAGTGTACAATCCTGAAGACAGGATATGCACTATAAAATATACTGCAGTAAGACAACAGATTTAAGTTCACTCTGAAACTGTCTGACTTCCTTAACCATTTTAATAAAGATAAAAGTCAATATGAACAAATTTGTTAGGTACCTTAGGAACCTTTCTAAATTATACTATATAATAAAAGGCTAATATGCAAATTGTTCCTTTGACCAGGAGTTTGACCAGGGAACGGGGCTGGCCAGCCAATCGCTCGCAGCCCCTCCCCCCAGCCAACCCCCCCTGATTGGCTCTCTCCATCCCAATCAGGGGCGGGGCCGGCCAGCCAACCTCCCATGTCCCCTCCCCCTGGCCGGCCCAGCCCAATTGGCCCTGATCCGGGCAGGCTGGCTGGACCCCACCCATGCACAAATTCATGCACCAGCCTCTAGTTTAGATAGAAGCTAAAATTATAGTAATAAAATATTAAAGAAAAACATTATTTTTGGCAAAATGGTTAGAAAAACCCTAAGGAAAGAGATCAAATTCCAATTAAAAAATAATAGACTGAGTCAAGTCTACTATAAAGTACCTCTACTAATTGTGAAATGTGTAAGTGGAACCAACAGCTGAAATCTGAAAATGCTGCTTCTGTTGGGTTTGATTACTCAATCATGACAAGAGAAATATAAACAGACTATATAACAGTCTATCACCTGTAGTGAACTTATAATTTAAAGCTTAAGGTACATGGCTAAAAGAGGACTAGGGTGGGGGTGGGCCGTAGAAGTCTTCAGGGCAAAGATTCTATAAATTGGTAATATCTAAATTGCCATTACTGTATATTAAAATAATGATGTCTTGCCTTGGCCAGTGTGGTTCAGTTGGTTGGCCATTGTGCACCAAGAGGTCGCAGGTTCGATTCCTGGTCCAGGCATATGCCCTAGTTGCAGTCTTGATCCCAGGTAGAGGGTGTGCAGGAGGCAGCTGATTGATGTTTCTCATCGATGTTTCTCTCTCTCTCTCTCCCTCTCCCTTCCTTTCTCCCTAAATATATTTATAACCTATGGACACAGACAATAGTGTGGTGAAGGCCTGGGGAGGGGTGCAGGGTGGAGAGTGTCAATGGGGGAAAAAAAGGGAC